AAAGACAAGGTACATGCCCTGTGAGAGCAGAAAGCAGAGATGTGGAAGGAAAGAAGAAGGTCAGAGACCTTCTAAGGATTACCCAGAAAAGCTTCCTAAGGCCTTTGAGAAACTAGTAGAATTTCAAGATGAAGTTAGGATGAATATGGGCAATTCTGGCGAAGGAATGGATGAGCAGAGAACATAGAAATAAAATCTAAGGCATGCCTCACAAATGCTGACAGGTGCAGTGCTTTTCCTGTTGGAGCCAGTGGGAGACAACCCTGAAGGTAAAGATAGAGGGTAGGGTTTTAAATATAAATCTAAAGGACTTAGACCTTACCCTTTAGGAAATGGGAGAGATTTGAGGTTTCGGGCCAGGAGTGATATAATCGGAGCCGTTCCATAAAACGATTGAACTGGGTGCAGAAGTGAGGGAAAGAGATGGGATGAGAGTGGGCTAGGGTGATTACTACATGGTCTGAGAAGAGTGGGACAGAGCCTGGGGTAGGACTGGTAGCAATGAGATAGAAAGGAAGTGACAATGGGAATCAACACAACTTGACCTCTGACACTTCTGCGGTGTGTGACTGCAGGAGAGCAATGTGAGAAGATGATATAAAAAATGGAGACCAGGGTTTCCACCGGAACATGCTATATTGGGTAAGGGAAGAGAGCAGGAAATTGATGAAAGACATTAGTAGACATACTCAGTCTGAGGTGACTGGGACAACTGGGTAAAAATACCTACTTGGCAGTTGGAAATGTGAGGCTAGATTTCTAATGGAGGCTGACGATGAAGATGGCATAATAATTCATCCAGGCAACCTACCCTCCTGATTCTACAAAACCAGAGGCTTGTTTCCCATGTTATTGACTTCTCCTCAGGGAGCCTTCTTATCCCTGTTTTACTGATGGGGACCCTGTGGCTCTGAGCCATTACCTAACGTGCTGGAGTCAGCAGTGAGATGGCTGAGTTCTGACTTATGTCCTTGTTTTTTCCACTACTCTAAGATAAGATAGCTCTCTCCTTCCTCTTAGTTCAGAGTCTCGATGTTAAGTATTACCATGCATTTCTTTACCCACTCATCTCTTTCTCCTGTTCTAATCTCCACTCATTCTGCTTGATTGAAGTATTTTCTAATCGGCCCCAATGACACTCAGTGTCATTCCATGTCTCATCATTACTTTTAACCTAGCTAGCTGCTCCCTCTTTCATTACAGAGGATTTGAGGGCAGTGTACTTTTAGCTCCCAGAATGTCTATGGTCCCACCAGGAGCTGATCCCTTGTATTAGCTTTGGGCTGTGTGTCCCACAGCACTTCAGATCACATGCTGGACATCTATTGATCCATCAAGCCTGCTGTTTATACAGGTCATTTCATCATGACACCAAATGCTCCCAGACAAAAGCCACATGTGCTCAACTAGCATGAAAACAAAATAGAGCATTTTCTTCTCAGCAATTCGGTGGTTACTTTGATTCCTAACCTTGCAGTTTGATCGATTCTCTGGCAGTACGACACATCATAAACTTTCTACCAGCTATTTATATTTCTCCATCTTTACTGAGAAGAGCATGGCTCCACAGCTTTTAGAATGCCTAGCCTCTTCAGCAGCTCTCCACGGAAAGTCCTCTTTTCTAATTAATCATGCATCTTGCTATTCTGGGTGAACCGGCTCTCAATCGGCACATTCTATGTTCCCTGTGCTAGGTCTCACACTTCCCCTTCCAGCGCCTCTGATAACTGAATCACAAGTGAAGCCTCACAGAGCAGCAGGTGAAAGTTATCATTCTCCTTACCGATGAGGAAGTGGCCCTGAGTGAACCGTGACTCATCAGGCTCCCTGGAGCTTTTTAGTGAACTATTCACAGCCAACCGCCCTGACTTAAGCTTCTGATTAATCATCTCCTTGCCATCCAAACCTCTGAACCCATCCATAGTGAAGTCTCCCTCGATGCTGCCACTCAAAGTGTGGGATCACTTGGCTGAGATCTCTTAAGGTTCTCGTGTTTCTGTACATTAGCATCAAAACCATGTTTTCATTTTGGCTCGCCAACTAGAATGGGTGGGCAGAGGCCATGCCATGTCCCTCCTGGGTCCCTAACACTTGAATAATGATTTATATAAAATGCATAGAATACTTGTGAAAGTAGTGACCTGTTTCTAGATATATTTAATCAGAGGCTGTTATAGAGGGACTTCAACCATGCAACTGTCCTTCTGTTATTTCTAAATTTCCCAATCGCCTAAGTATATTATTATTTAAAGTGATTTCACCAACCCCAAATAGTTTAAAAATATACGTAACTACACAGTGCACATTACTCCTCAAAATGACCATTATAGTTAATTTACTATTCTGATTTAAATAATGATTATCCTGGGAATTATTAAATGCCTTTTCAGGCCTATGTTTTTAATTATAAGCCCCAGCCTATACATGTTTGTTGAACGCCTTCTCTAGACTAGACCCTGGAGATAAGAGGGTGAGAAAGCCTGCTCTCCATGACTTAATTCTAGTAGAGATATCTCCTATGACTTAAATATCTACTAAGAGATTGAGAGATAATAATCTCTATACCTCTGCTTCTCAGAGCAGAGAATGCTTTCCTGAAGTCACTATGTAGTCTAAGAAGCCTATTTGGAAACTAATGTTACAGGAGAGGATCTTTAACCCCTTGGTGACACTTGAGTCTGAATGGGAGTTGATCCAGCTGGGAAATGCCTATGGCAGACAAGGAAAGGGGGAAAGGCCTGAAAGGCCATTTCAAAACCAACCTGAACTTGACTCCTTTCCTGCTGTAAATTAAATGTGCATATATAAGTAAAGACCCTCTCTTCTCCTCCTTCCCCCCTCCTCCCTTCCTTCATATGCCACATAATTCCATCCTGGGAAGGGCAAACCTTACAGGGCGCTTCAGGAACTGCCATCAGGAGAAATGCAATATAGGAGCCACCACCACCCAGACCTCGCTCTACCAGATTCGTCTGTTTCTCATCAAATGGAATTTAGAGTTCAATCAGAATTAGACTCAGGATGTACAGTCCTTTCTACTTTCATTCATTTCATGGACTCCAGCCCTCTCCTGGCTCAGTCTTCGTCCAATGCACTTCACTTCGGAGGGCGTGAGGAGTTGTGGAGAGCCTGGGGTGGGGGTGGTGAGGGCCCTAAAGCCTGGTCCTCTAGGGAGAGCGGCACCCAGGGCCGGAGCTGGGCCTCCGGAGTGTGTCAGCCCAACTCCGTCTTGGGATTATCGGTGCCCACAGCCTCCCTGTCTTCACTGCGCCACCCGGATGCGGGTGCGTTTTCCTGGCTCGCCTTTTGGACACGCCCCTCGGTCCTCCGCAGAGGATCCAGGCACCAGCACCCCGGGCTTTGCTCCCGCAGAGGCTCCACTTCTGCACAGCGAAAAGCGAAAGCTGCTGCGGGCGGGCGAGGGACGCGCCGCGTGGCCGCTGCTCCGAATCCGCAGCCGCCGGGGGGCTGTCACCACCCACGCGGTGCGGACCCGGATCCCAACTTCCAGGGAACTCGGCGCCGGCGAGCCTGCAGCAGCCCGGACGCGCCCTCCCACGCAGGCCCAGGGCCCTGCGGCCCCCACGGCTCGGGGGCGAATTCCCGCAGCTGGTCCCCAACCACCCCACCTCCCGGGAGACATCTGACCCCGGCTACTCGGCCCGAGAAAGACGCGCTAAGGGTAGTTGGATGCTTAGCGGCTCCAACTCGGATTTAGGAGTGTCAGGGCGCTCTCCCGGGAGCCAGAGCCGCCTCCGCAGCCTCCGCCGCAGGTCCCGCCCGCCGCGCTGCGGGAGGGGACGTGCCCGGCGAGGGGCGCTCTCCGGGATTCTCAGGAGCGCCCCGAAGCCCCACCCGCACCCTCTGGCCAGATGACTTTACCCTGGGACACCCTTGGGTGGAGGCCTGTAGCTGGAGAGGAGGGAGAGGAGCCAGAGGCGCTGAGTTGCTGGGATGCAGCTGCGCGCCCCTCGCGGGGAGATGGGGCTGGGGACCCTTGGGCTCGGCCCGGCTTGGGGAGCGGGATGCTGCGCCTCTGCCTCGCGGAGGACCACACACACACACACACACACACACACACACACACACACACACACAGAGTCTGCTGCCAGTACCACCTTCCCTCCACCCCCGCCCCCCACGCCCGGAGCCGGACGCGGAGGTCAGAGAGCCACTGCTCACTTTAAGACCGGAGCCCAAACGCCCAGACAGACGGAGGAGGGGGTGGGGGGTGGGGGTGAGGCTCTCTCCTCTGTTCGAGGCTCCCCCATCCCGGGAGGCCTCCCAGTTTTCCAGAGCGAGCAGTGTTCGGCTGCTGAGATTCCGCTCCTTGGACCAGGGGTTCAAACTGCAGAGGGCCAGGACCGCTGGAGGAGCATAGACAGCGAGCCCGCGCTCCCCTCCGCTCTCAGCCGGAGAACTAGCAGCACCACCGCCTCCGGCACAACCGGGCGGCCGGGGTGGGAGCCGGACTCGGCGCCCCAGCTCTGCCGGGGGCAGGGAGGGGGTGACAGCAGCCGCCACTGCGCGCGCCGGCAAAGGCACGGAGTCTCCGGGTCCGCTGAGCGGCGGGCGCCGAGGGCGGGGTGGGGGTGGGAGCGGAGGGGAGGAGGAGTGGAGCGGGATGACGTCCTCCGGCGCCCGGGGATCGCAGGGACCGAAGATTCGTGCGCCCGCCGGCTGGGCGCGCTCACTTGGGGGTTGGCAGAGGCGCCGCGCCCGGCTCCCCCGGCGACTCCCCGGAACCACCGCGCGCACCGGGCGATCCCTCCCGCCTAAACCAGGGGCAAGCGGCCACCTTAAAGCTCCTGCTGCTGGTCTCTCGCCTCAGGGTGCCCTCCCAGGGTGCGATTCCTCGCCTTTTCCCTAATCGACCTCGAAGCAAGGGCAGGCGCCCGCGCCCCGGCCCCTGCCCATCGGGGCGAGCCGGCGTCCCGGCCAGCGCCGGGCTGCGAAGAGAGTGGGGCGAGGGGGGTGCGTTGGACAGGAAAGGTGCTCACCTGAGTCTCCCGAGCCTTCCTCCCTAGTCTTCGCAGCCCCCAGGTACTATCTTCCTCGAAGAAAAAAAGTAGCGCAAGGGCAGCGAGAGGCAGGGCTGCTCACAGGTACCTGCGCAGCGGCTTCCCTCTTCCGAGTCTCCCGAGTCCAGTCTCGGGCTCGGCAGCGGGAAAGGGCTCTGGGAGGCTGAAAAGGGGCCGCCAGACCCGGGATCCTCCCGTAGCGATGTCCCCGGCACCTCCAAGTTGCCACCTGCAGCGCGCCCGGTGCCTGTGACAGCCGCGCCGCTCCGCGGGGCCGGCCCGCCTCCCCGCCCGCCCCGCCCGCCCGTTGGCTGCGCCCGGCGCCCGGCCCGCCCTGCTCCCGCCTCCGAGCCCGCAGCTCGCCCAGTGCGGGTGCCCTCACAGGCCTCTCTGGGCTTTATAGCAGCGGATTTGGGGGAGCTGCTCAGGCTTTTGCAAGCAGAGGAGGAGGAATCACACACACACACACACACACACACACACACACACACACACACACTTTTGTGTTGTAGGTGAGGGATTGGAGGAAAGAGCAAGGCTATAAGAAATGCTCTTCCTGTGCCTCTAGGGTACCCGGTAACTTGGTTTCTTTCACTGGTATTACATTTGTGGTCTCTGAAAAGGAGTTAACCTCACAGCGCCAAACAGTGCAGACCTGTGAGTCGGAAAGTGGCTTGGGGTTAGTTCTCATAAAAGTGCACAGGAAGCACTGACATATGAAGGTAAGTCCAGGAGTCTCTGTCTTTTCTCACTTACCCTGCACCACTGCGATGGATGGAGGATCCTCCGGTCCCAGCACCCGAAAAGCCACTCCCACCTCCACTGGTGTCCTTCGTGTGGGTAAGTGCTTGCTTGATTCTGAGGCTGCATGGTCCAGGCCAGGAGGACGTATGCTGATGCTTGTAAAAGTCGTGTTTTGCACAACTCCTGGCCTATGAAGTGAACATTATCTTTCCTTCTCTTCCAACTCTCACCCCAAAGACTGGGACAGGAGTTCACTGCCCAGCCTCCCTGGGCATACAAGTACATTCTCCTCTCTGCCTGTGAAAACATTCGTAAGCCATGCTTTCTGGAAAACGGATTTGGTAAAATCTTTCGGAGGAGAAAAACTAAATATATGAAAAGTACCAGTCCGGAAAGCCATCCAATCAACCAGAAACGGCTCACTCTTGGGTGCATCTATACGAGAGAGGTACATTGCCAAGTAAACCCATTAGGTTAATAACATTTCAAAATGGACTTACCAAATAGTACATTCTGTAGCCCATTAGGGAACCGTCTATGTTTTGGGAGTGCAGGTGAGTCGCTGCTAAGGGTGACCGTGTGCACGCACAAACTCATGTCCAGCTGTGTTTTGCAGAATCCTCAGCAGGAGGAAAAGGGCCTTCCTCAAGGAAGTCAGAAGGTGGCTCTTTATTGAGGACAGTTGGCATCAGTGAAGAAACCACTCCCTGTCAACTGTTGCTAGGTAACTTGGATGGCTGCTTCATAGCACCAGGTCCTTGCATTTTAAGGTAGATTTGTCTTATGAGATTCTAACATCTTAGGTCCACCTTATGAACCAGTAGCAAATGTTTTCTCCCCACGTGGCCAAGTGCTTCTGAAACCTAGGGAGCTTTGTCTAGTACAGTTCAGAGGCAAAACATTCACAAGGAGACACTTCAGGATGTTAGCTTGGTCAAGTGCTTGCAACTGCACTTTGACATGAAATGGATGACACCATGAGTAGAATGAAGGTATGAATGGCTCAGGTTTGAGGGCACTTTGAATCAATAACTGGAGGAGGAGTTGATCAAAATTGGGGGGTTAGGATGGGGATAGTGATTTAACCCCAGATATATATCTGATCAGTTGACAAGCAGCCAAGGCACAAACACAAAAGGACAAGATGTGTTTTCTTAATAGTAGGAAATGAGTTTAAAGACTCAAGCAATGAGAAATTTCACCAACTTTCCCCAAAATATCTCTCTTTTATTTTTGGCCCAGGACCCAATCCAAGGTCACACATTATATTTAGTTTATCCCTCTTTATTCTCCTTTTATCTGCTACAGTTCTGTAGTCTTTCCATCTCTCATGCCCTGACAGCTTTAAAAACCATATGCATTTCATTCTATAGATTTCATAGTTTCATCTGATGTTTCTTCATCTCTGATGCAAGTCATGCATCCTTGTAGGAAATATCAAAGAAATGATGTGCTCTTTACAGTGCATCCACATTGTTGAACCATCAAAACCAGGAATACCTAATGGTCTTTGCATGATATTGAACTATCTCCCCAAGATGATGTTAACCTTGACCCCATGGATTGGTGCACACTGAAATTTTCCATTACAAAGTCACCATTTCCCTTTTGTAACCCATATGTATTTGATAGGGATATACTCTAAAGTTATATCAATATTCTGTTCCTCATAGAACCTTCACTCAACCAGTTTTAGGAGGCATTGATGACTCCTATCTAAATAAATGACCACTATGATACTTGCCAAATGACAGTCTTCCATTTGCATCATTCCTTTTGCATTATTAATTGGCATTCTTCTGTAAAAATTTCTCCCTCTCTTTATTTGTTTACTTGTGCCAGTATAGAGTTATGAATTCCTATTCCATTCAATGAATTGTATTCTGTTACTTTCATTAATTTGATGCTCAAATTATCCAGATTTGGTTAGAGAGTGTCTCTTTTAAGCTGGCTCTTAGGTCCCTCCAACATGTCCCATTGTTCCTTGGGCACCTTTTAACTTCCTGGGACATCAGTATATGCTAGATTCATTTTGCATTACCCTTTCCCAGTGTGGAATCAGCCAGCTCTCCAAAGAGCCCTGACTCCTTTTAATGGAGGATGGTATTTAGAAATGAGATTTGGGCACCCACCATGCTTACTGCTACTGGCATGTTATAACTTCTAGACTCTCTCAATGGATAGAGCTAAGAAATAAATGATAAATGTTCACACACAAGCACATACACATTATGTTTATTTCCATATGTGTATGTGTATGTATCTATTTCTCTATACATCCACTTGTAAATATATATCTATGTAAACTTATAGTGGTAGATCTCTATCATCTCTATCTCTATCTCTATCTCTATCTCTATCTCTATCTCTATCTCTATCTCTCTCTATCATCTCTATATCTCACACCAATACCTCCAATTCTAATCCAACTCATTAGGGTCTTTTCCTCCTTTCTATATTTGCTAGAGGCCTGATGCACAAAATTTGTACAAGGGGCTTGGCCCTTGCAGCCCTGACTGCCTCAGCTCAATCTCGCAGCCTTGACTGGCCCTTGCAGCCCTGGATTTGTCTGGAAGGTCAACCAGAAGGTCCTTCTGCTGTTTGGTCTAATTAGCATATTAGCTCTTTATTATACAGGATTAAGTTCTTCTCTAACAGAGAAACCTGACTCACAATATACCCTCAGCATATTGACTTATTTGCTCCAGCTGCCTTATGTAACCATTTTCTGACCACATCAGCCACCTCCTCACCCTGCCCCAGTGGTTGTCCTCTGTACTTGGAGCCTCCTATGTCTCAGTCTCCTGGGTCCCTGTGCTGCTGTCAGCTTCTGACCATACCTCATCAGTAAAGTGACTTTTCTGTCCTCCCAGTTGTTCAGGTCAAAATTCTGAAGTCATCCTTCATAATACTTTTTCTCTCATATCCCATACTAATCTGTAGCCAATTGTTCTATCTTCAGCGAGGTCCAGAATCTAACCTTTTATCACCACCTCCACCATTACTACCCTTGTCCAGGTCAACTACTATAATGGCCTCCTACCTGCTCCCCTATAATGGCCTTGCTCTCCTAAAGACTATCATCAGCCCAGCAGCCTAAGTGATACTTTCAGTATATGTCACATCATTTCACTTCACTGCTCAATGGCTTCCACTTCTGCTAAATAAAAAAAAAAAAATCCTAATAATTTTGACTCTTGGAGCCCCACATTTCCTTTTCCTCATCTCCCACTGCTTTCTACTTTGGATCTTCTCTCCAGGCATATTGGTTCTGTTCTGCTCTTGGCACAGGCCAGGCATCCTCTTTCCTCTACCTGAGATGCTCTTTCCCAGGTATTCCTGTAACTCCCATCACTGCCAGATCTTTGCTCAAAGGTGTTTTTTCCAGTGAAGTCTTCTCTGGCACTGTATTCACAACTGTGCACTCTCCTTCCGACCTATCTTCTCGCTACCACTATAGAATGTATTATAATTTAATATAACATATATATTGTATTTATTTATTTACAGTCTGCCCCCTTCTCTTGCCGTGATTTTAGTCTCTTTTGTTTATTGCTAATCCCCAATGGAGCCTGGCATACAATATACCTCAATAAATATTTGCTAAATGAATGGATGAAATTACAGAAACACATTACACATTTATGACTGATTATACATATACCCATGTGTTAATGGCTGTCAATGTGACTTCAGCGATTAAAACCTATGGGTCTTAACTAAAGGTTTCATGGAGAGGAGTCCTATAGAGACATTAAAGGCAGAGTATAGTGAAAGGTTATAAAAAACATAAAGACAGTCATTGCCGGCGTGGCTCAGTGGTAGAGCATTGGCCTATGTAACAGAAGGTCGAGGGTTCAATTCCAGGTCAAGGGCACATACCTGGGTTGCAGGTCTGATCCTGCCTCTGTTCTGGACACATGTGGGAAGCAACCAATCCATGTATCACTCTCACTTCACTATTTCTCCTCTCTTTCCTCTCTCTCTCCTTCCACTCTCTCTAAAAAAATCAATGGAAAAAATATCCTCACTCCTTGGGTGAGGATTAAACAAACAAACAAACAAACAAAAAACAACAAAAAACATAAAGACAGAAAAAGACTCTGTATTTGATGAATATGAAGTAAAGTGGGTAATTTGGAAACGATGTTGTTGGATATCAACTGGCCATTTATTGACCCAAATAACAAAATTAGAAACCACCAGGCATTAAAATAAAAAATTCTACAAATATATATTTCCCCCCAAAATTATACTGCATATAAGTTACAAGGATTTTAGACACTTTCCTCTTGTGAAGCATAAGTCTCTTGGAACAAAAAAATCTCATTAAACGAGTTCACAATACTTGAAGTGTAACATTTTTTTTTTAATGTTCCAAGTTAGCTCTCAAGGAAAAGAAATACCTTTCTTTTATTTTTGATGTTGTGTTCATGTTGGTCCTTTATAAGCCAAAAATCCTTAGAAAACATTTATACAAAGTGAAATGGAAACTCAATACACATTGGACAAATTTTCAACATTGATTGTCATCAGATTTTTAATGT